AAAAAAAAAAAAAAGTTTGATGAAAATATTTCAAATTCTATATAAAACCAGCACATCGTACTCCATGATTGCATTATGTACACAGCTATGATTTAATAAAAAAAAAAAAATAACAAAACCTGGCATGGTCACAAATAAGCTGAGAAGCCAGAAACTGAATCTGAGAGGTCGTGTCTCCTCTTTAGTTCATAATTCACTGCCTTTAGGCACAGAGAAGGTGAGTCACCTGCCAAAGTCACACAGCTGATTCCAGAGGCCAGGCTCTCAGGCACCAAAAGTTGACAATTTCAGCACTAAAAGGTGATAATTTCAGCATTGCAAGTTTAGCACTGATTCCAAGGAGCCAGTTCCAGGCCCAGACACCAATATTTGTGCAGGAAATAGCTATGATAGCATCATTTCTATATTAGGCTCCATGACACAGCTAATTTTTTTTGTTGCAGTTGTCATTGTTGGTTAGCTGGCCAGAGCCTGGTTTGAACCCGCCAACTTTGGTGTATGTGGCTGGTGCTGAGCCTTTTTTTTTTTCCTTTTTTTTTTTTTGAGTCAGAATCTCCATCACCCTGGGTAGAGAGAGTGCCATGGCATCATCACAGCTCAGAGTAACCTCAAACTTTTGGGCCCAATGATCCTTTTTTTTTTTTTTGAGACAGAGTTTCACTTTGTCACCCTTGGTAGAGTGTCGTGGTATCACAGCAACCTCCAACTCTTGGGCTTAGGTGATTCTCTTATCTCAGCCTCCCAAGTAGCCGGGACCACCTGCGCCTGTCACAACGCCCGGCTACTTTTTGTTGTTGTTTGGCTGGGGCCAGGTTTGAACCTGCCACCCTCAGTATATGGGGCCGGCAGAGTAGCTGGGACTACCAGTGCACACAACTACACCTGGCTAGTTTTTCTGTTTTGGGTAGAGACGGGGCTCTCGGTGGTGCTCAGGCTGGTCTCTTACTTCTGAACTCAGCTCAAGCACTCCACCCGCCTCTGCCTCCCAGTGAGCTAGGATTATAGACAGACGTAAGCCATCATGCGTGGACCAAAGAGAGTTTCTTAAAATAAGTATTTATTTATTTAACTTTCTGTAGACATGCACTTATTTTTTTTCCTGTTCCACATTGTAGAAAATACTGATCATGACTTGCCAAACTGATTCTTCCACATGCACTTGGAGGACCATGTCACCAACTTGAGTGGTCGGTTGCTATTGTTAACAATCTACCTATGTTTCACTTAACATCTATCCGAAGATTGCTGAATACCAGGGACCATCGTCATTTAATCTTCAAGCCAAACCTGAAGCAGGCAGTATTATGACCCACATTTGAGACAGAGCCTCAAGCTGTTCCCCTGGGTAGAGTGCCGTGGCATTCCAGCTCACAGCAACCTCCAACTCCTGGGCTCAAGCGAGTCTCCTGCCTCCGCCTCCCAAGTAGCTGGGATCACAGGCGCCCGCCACAACGCCCGGCTATTTTTTTTGGTTGCAGCCGTCATTGTTGTTTGGCGTGTCCGAGCTGGGGATTCGAACCCGCCACCTTCGGTGTACGTGGCTGGCGCCTTAGCCGGTTGAGCTATAGGCGCCGAGCCATATGACCCACATTTTACTGAAGACTTATAAGGCACAGAGGGGTGAAGCTTGCACAAAGATAGTAAGTGACAAAGCTGGGTTTCAAACCCAATGATTACGGCTGCGGAGTCCATTTTGTCATGCAGCTGTTACAGAATTTACTTATGTTTATTGTGTGTATCCCAGGCACACACTGCAGAATGTCATTTCCAGAAGTTGTATACACTTCGCCCCTACAACCCCTTCCTTACGCAGCAGTCACCATGCCTATGGAAACAGACGCTCCAGGCTAGCTGAGTAGATTTCCTGCCTGCGCAGGCGCATTAGGCTTCTCAGAGAACGGGAGCGACTCCGGATCCCTGCGCTAATTGGTCATCGCGATGTCTGACGAACCAGCGGACGCGAGCGTACCCTGCTAGGCCAGAGGCCTGAGAGCTACATTCTGAAACGCCCCTCCCTTCCATAAGCTTATTGGGTATACCTTGGGACTGACAGAGAGAAAAGCCAATGGAAGAGGGATTCTCTCTAAAGGGGGCGGACCTAAAGAGTAGTCAAATTTGCGCGGGTTTGGACCTGGGGTAGTCATGGCGGCCTTCCGCGACATAGAGGAGGTGAGCCAGGGGCTTCTTAGCCTGCTGGCTGCCAACCGTGCCGAGATACAGCAGCGACGACTGCTGGGGCGCTACGAGCAGGTGGTGCAGCGTCTGCTGGAGACGCAAGACGGCGCTGAGCAGCAGCTGCGAGGTGAGGGCCGTAGGCGTGCGGGCTAGGAGGGGGGCAGCTAGGGTGTCCTCGAAACTCCTGAGTTTCCCTCCTCTGTGCTGCCCCTCCGGGTGCCCGCTCTGAGTCTCAGTTTCCCCACTCGTGAAATGCGCTTCATGACAGTATCTATCCCCCCTTAGAGATTTAATGGTAAATGTAGGAGCTTGCAGGTCCAGGTCCCTTCTGAGCGCTCCTTGACCAGGAGTGGGGGATCAGGGTTTAAATTGGGGCTCAGGACTTTGAATCCCAGCACCCCTACTTCCCAGCTGTGAAAAAAAAAATTTTTTTTTTTTTGCAGTTTTTGGCCAGGGCTGGGTTTGAACCCACAACCTCCGGCATATGGGGCAGGTGCCCTACTCCTTGAGCCACAGGCATCACCCCCAGCTGTGAAATTAAGTCTGTTTCTTAACATCTCTGTGTCTGTTTTCTTCTCAGTTCAATGGTTGTAAAAACAGGCCATCCTTTTTTCTTGAGGTCTTTTAGTTGTTTCATGGAGCGCCTGTCAGGTACCAGGTCCTGGGTGGCAAGACAGAGGCAATGCCTTCCCTTGGGTGTCAGTAAAGCCTAGTGGAGGAGGGGAGGGGACAGGATAAACAAGAAAAATATATAGGCTTGGTCTCCGTAACTCCGTGAGTAAGGGCGCCAGCCCCGTACACCAAAGCTGGCTGGTTTGAGCCCTGCCTGGGCCTGCTAAACAATAATGACAACTGCAACAGTGACAACAACAGCAACAAAAATAAAGGGGCAATGTGGCAGGCGCCTGTATTTCCAGCTACTTGGGAGTCTAAGGCAAGAGAATCTGTTAAAACCAAGAGTTTGAGGTTGCTGTAGCCTGTGACTCCACGGCACTCTTTGGAGGGTGACATAGTGAGACTCTTGTCTCAAAAAAAAGAAAAATGTGTATGTTAAAAGGTGACAGGCTGGGCAGCGCCTATGGCTCAAAGGAGTAGGGCGCTGGCCACATATGCCAGAGGTGGCAGATTCAAACCCAGCCCCAGCCAAAAACTGCAAAAAAAAAAAAAAAAAAAGTGACAGGCTAAAAAAGAAAAACTAGGTCGTGTGAGGAATGGTGAAGTTTTGGGGGCAGGATCAGTAAAGGCCATCTGTGAAGATGAAGTTTATTTATTTATTTATTTATTATTTTTGAGACTGAGTCTCAAACTGTCACCCCGGGGTAAAGAACTATGGCATCATAGCTCACAGCAACCTCAAACTCTTGGGCTTAAGTGATTCTCTTTCCTCAGCCTCCCAAGTAGCTGGGACTGTAGGCGCCTGCCACAATGCCTGGCTATTTTGTGGTTGCAGTTGTCATTGTTGTTTTAGCTGGCCCAGGCTGGGTTCAAACCCGCCAGCCCAGGTGTGTGTGGCCGGCGCCCTACCCACTGAGCTAAGGTGCCACCTGAAGATGGTGTTTAAACAGAAACCTGAAGGAGTAGAGGAAGAGAAAACTGTAATAAAGATTAAATAATCTGATGTGGGTAGAGTGCCCTCTGCTCTACTTGAAGAAAAAACTGAATAAATACTGAAATTTTTATATGACCCAAGATGCCATTGAATATAAGACTTATTTAACAGTAAGATAAAATGACCCTGAGCGGTGGCTTATGCTTGTAATCCTAACATTCTAGGAAGCCCAGGCAGGTGGATCACCTAAGCTCAGGACTTTGAGACCAGCCGGAGTAAGAGCCAGGCCCTGTCTCCACTAAAGCTATCTGGGCATTGTGTCAGGCACCTATAGTCCTAGCTACTCAGGAGGCTGAGCCAGGAGGATCTCTTGACCCAAGAGTTTGAGGTTGCTGTGGGCGAGAGTGAGACTCTGTCTCCAAAAAAAAGAAAAAAGAAAGAAAAAACAGTAAGAAGAAAAGTTAAACAGACACCTAAAGGAAGTATCTGTGGCTCAAGTGGCTAAGGCGCCAGCCACATACACCTAAGGTGGCAGGTTCGAATCTAGCCCAGGCCTGCCAAAACAACAATGATGTATGCAACCAAAAAATAGCCGGGCATTGTGGCGGGCGCCTGTGATCCCAGCTACTTGGGAGGCTGAGGCAGGAGACTAGCTTGAGCCCAGGAGTTGGAGGTTGCTGTGAGCTGTGATGCCATGGGCACTCTACCCAAGGGGATAGCTTGAGGCTCTGTCTCAAAAAAAGAAAAGAAAAAAAATTATAAAAATTAAAAAGAAGAGCTAATGCATATGTGGTTGGGGGGGGGGATGTTTATTTGTTTTTTGATACAGAGTCTCACTCTTTTGCCCCAGGCTAGAGTTCCTTGACATCACAGCCCACAGCAATGTCAAACTCCTGGGGTCAGATGATTCATCTGTCTCAGCCTTCCAAGTACCTGGGACTACAGGCACTGCCACAATGCCCAGCTAATCTTTTTTCTATTTTTAGTAGAGATGGGGTCTTGCTCTTGCTGAGGCTGGTCTTTTTTTTTTTTTTTTT